TTTTCAAGTTCTTCTTTCTAGCACATATCGGATTCGCTGTTATTTGCTTCTTCTAATAACTGGGGCTCGTGTTTCGGGGAATGATTTCTGGGGAAAAGAAAGCCACAGAATAAAGAGACAGAGAGAATGTCGCAGACTGGCAAGCCGATGCAGGGACTGGGGTTCGATTCTCTCACTACTCGATTCCGCGATTTGTTGGCTTCTGACGAGAACAAGCCTGATTTTAAAGAACTCGATCTGGGTTCTCCTGTTTCTCCATTGAAAACCCCTGCCACTGTTAATGCTGCCGGTGCCGCGCCCCCTAACACCTCAAGCTGCAGCTCGAGCAGCTCTGCCGGATCGGTTTCCGGAAGCAGACAAACCGTTGCCAAGTTGCCCTGTAAACCAGACGGGAAGCCCAGCAACAACTCCGGCGAGCTCCGTGAGACCAACTCAAACGCCTGTGAGAGCCTTCAACCGGCTTTGGCATCCCGACGCACCAAGCCGGGTCATAGGAGATCGGTTTCAGCTGGAGCTCCATTAATATACTCCGGTGGAAGTTCTAGCAGCTGGGGGAATAACGGTCATTCCAAATGGTGCGACTTCAGGGACTAATTTGCTCCCAGCCGGCAATATTTGTCCGTCAGGGAAGATCTCAAAAACAGGTTTGGCGCCTCGAACACCCAATAGAACTGATGTTTTGGGTTCAGGGACGGTAAACTATGGCCGAGGCAACATAATGCGCGGTGGCGGGAAATTGGGCAATGGAGGGCACGTCATCGTCTACGACAATGTCCCCGGGAACTCTCAGCTGGGAGGGGTTTCGGACATTGTGAAGCGAGCAATGAGTGCTTCAGATCCTGAGGAAGTGAAAAGAGCTGGAAATGAGCTATACAGAAGCGGTAACTTTGCGGAGGCATTGTCGTTGTACGATCGCGCAATTTCGATATCACCCAATAATCCTGCTTACCGGAGTAATCGGGCGGCAGCGTTGACGGCTCTGGGGAAGTTGGCTGCGGCGGCGAAGGAGTGCGAAGAGGCTGTGAAACTGGATCCTGGTTATGCCAGGGCTCATCAGAGACTGGCTTCACTTTATCTGCGGTTAGCGCTCTGTTAGTTTTGTGTTTATAAAGTTGCATCGTGTTTAACTTATATTATATCTATGCTTTTATCAGTATGGTTCTCTTGTAACTGTGTCGTTGACGGAAAAGTACTGCTTTGCTCATCTTTCATCCTTGACTTGGTTTTGATATGCGAATGATTGATCTTAGTTTTGGCATCTGTCACGTGGATTTGATGCTGGTTACTGTGAAAATTTGAACAGTTCTCATAATTTCCGGCTATAGCTTTGGAATACGAACTCTTTTTCCTTGCTTATTCATTTGATATGGTAACAAGAGTTTCTCGTTCTGTGGCAACTTTTCCTTCGTCAAGGCATGTATTAAACATTTTATACATTCGACTTTTGAAAATTCGGAATTTTTGTTGGCTCATTTGAATTTATAAGTAGATGTGGAATTTCTTCAGCTTTGGGCAGGTTGAGAATGCCCAGAGCCACCTCTGTCTCCCTGGAAAACAGGTGGATCATTCGGAACTGCACAAGCTGGGGCTATTGGAGAAGCATTTTAAACGATGTGCAGAAGCACGAAAGATCGGTGATTGGAAAAGCGCACTCAGGGAATCAGACGCAGCCATTGCTGTCGGAGCAGATTTCTCTCCCCAGGTATGCTCCACTCTTGTACATACAAACAAACAAATATATATATATATATAATTTGAATTTCTCAGTGATATTCCATAGTTTCTATTCCCTAAGTTGGGTGAGTTCTACTTGCAGCTTTTTGCTTGTAAAGCTGAAGCCTATTTGAAACTTCATCTGCTTGAGGACGCTGAGTCCACCCTCTCAAACATTCCAAAGCTGGAGGGTTGCTCTCAAACCAAGTTCTTTGGTATGGTTGGTGAAGCGTATGTTCACTTGGTTCGAGCTCAGGTTGAGATGGCCTTAGGAAGGTAAAAATCATCAACTTCCAATGCAAAAATAGGCATGAATTTTGAGTGAATGGAAAAACAGTGAACAAGAAAGATGGTTCCTTTTTTTTTTTTTTTTTTCCGGGGCAGATTTGAGAATGCAGTAGCAGAAGCAGAAAAGGCTAGTTTGGTAGACTATAGCAATGTGGAAGTTGCAAGGGTAGTAAATACCGTGAAAATGGTGGCGGGGGCTCGCTCTCGAGGCAACGATCTTTTTGGCCAAGGAAAATTTTCTGAAGCTTGCTCTGCTTATGGAGAAGGCCTCAAGATTGATAGTTCCAACTATGTCTTGTTCTGCAATAGAGCTGTTTGCTGGTCTAAACTTGGGCTGTGGGAAAAGTCTGTCGAGGACTGCAACCATGCCCTGCGAATACAACCAAACTGTACCAAGGCCCTTCTTCGTAGGGCTGTCTCAAATTCAAAGGTGAACTTTTTTGCACTGTGCCTATGTTTGTCTGTTTGTTTCTTTCTCTTTCTTTTGGAGCAGTACGGTCACAACTTTTATGGTGCTTTGTCTAATTGTGAATTCTATTTCTTGGGTGATTCTAAATGATTGCTTGACTAATAAATGATGTGTTCAGCTTGAAAGGTGGGGAGATGCTATAAGAGATTACGAGGCATTAAAGCATGAACTTTCTGGAGACAGTGAAGTTGCTGAGTCTCTCCGTCAGGCTCAGCTTGCATTGAGGAAATCTCGTGGGGAAGAATGTGGTTCAAAACTTGTTGAGGTTGAAGAGGTCTCTACATTAGATAGATTCAAAGCCGCAGTTGCTTCTTCTGGTATTTTTTTCTCCTTCCTTATTTTCTCCCCAGTAGTTTTAGTGCAGCATTTCTCTTGCCTCGTTGGTTTTGTGTAAAGCCAAAAACCTCAATTTTCAGGTATCTCAGTGGTTCATTTCAAGAAGGCATCTAATGAACGATGTCAAGAAATATCCCCCTTCATAAATACGCTCTGCATTCGATACCCAGATGTTAAATTCATCAAGGTAAAACACTAATTTATGCCTTTCTGAGAAGTATAGACATTGATGCTAACACACTGACACAGAAAACAACCAAGATATACGCATTATTATTTCATAAAATTTGAAGAATCATGTCTTGTCACACACAAACGTGATGTCCAAAATGTGTTTAGGTGGTTATCTTATACGCAAATTACACTTGGTCCTTCTTAACTTGATCCAAAATCAATTTTTCAGGTGGATTTGGAAGACTGTACAAGTGTAGGAAAAGCTGAGAGCATAAGAACTGTGCCGACCTTCAGAATATATGCAAATGGAGAGAAGGTGATGGAGATGATAAGGCCGAGTCATCAGTTATTGGAGGACTCTGTGAGGAACTGTTGTAATCTCTAGCTTCCATAATGTATACCCTTTAATTTTTTTGCAGTCATATGTAGGCGGACTGGCCAAACCCTGCCCTCTTCAGTTCAGAAAGATCAGGAGGGTCAGTTTTTGCCCTGGTACACAAAGTGCACATAAATTTTTCAGAGCTCTAGGCAGATAAACCTCAGGGAAAAATCAGCGTCTTGTTAATTAGGTTTTCAATCATAAATGTATATCTTGTTTCTTCCTTTTCTTTCTTTCCTACTATTTTGCATCATCCTCGTGCCAACTTTATCACAGCAATAACTCAAAACTCAGATCAAAACAATAAATATATTTAAAGGGTATATCAAATTGTCCAAAAAAGAACAATACAATATCTGAGATTTTTTGATTAACAATCTATCTAAAAATTTGACAGTTAGGAGAGTTTAACGTGTCGATCAATCTAGCAAATCTCACCTAAGGGAGTAAGGCTACGTTGTTGTTATCCAAAAATGAACAGGAAAAAATTGTGAATTAGGAACATGGGCATGGCAGGAAGGGAAAAGGCTGTAAAAAGTGTCGAATATTAATTATTGTCCGGTCTGTACTGCTACTTAAGAGTGAGACAGAGAAAAGAGATGATGGGGGAAGAAAATGACTAGGAGGCTTGGCTGGGGGCAATTATTTGTCATCAAGCTAGTATTTGATAATATTGGAGGACCTTCTTGGTCCTCTGAGCGTACCACCTCTTTCTTGCTCCACACGTCAGGTATGCATGGCATTTGCATAAAATTATAAACCATAATAAAATTATATTGTGGGTCTCACCATTTTCTTTTTCTGAAATTACTATCTCCTCCCCAGTGGCCCCTCTTTTCTTTTCCCCTCTCCTTTACCAACAAAACTTAATCCGAGTCTCAGCTGCTAACAATGGAGTGAGAGACTATCATAGAAGAAAGATTTTAAACTTGAATCCAAACCCTACCCCTTTTTTGTTTGGATGGGGGAAAAAATTAGGAAGAAAAACTTTCTAAAACGATAAAGACTTTTTTATTATTTTTAAAAGTTTTTAACTAGTATTTTTTTCCCTTATTTTCTTCACTTTTCTTTCAATCCAAACAGAACGGATTTCCGCTGTTTATGTTGGAGAGTTTAAAATGTTTATAATAAATTTAAGAAATATGGAATAGTTTAGAATTTTTGGAGAATTATAATTGGGCACTTCTTGTCACTATCCATACTATTATGACGTAAAAAGGCAAGGCCAAATGCCTAAACTTATTACAATTATACTCATTAATTCCATATTCTTTGAAGAGTGGTTCAATTCATATTTTAAGCGCTTGTTGAATAAGTTGTGTTTTATTTCATTGTTATCAATTATTATTTCACCAAAAAACAATTTTTGGCCAAAGGAAATTATTTTACCAAAAAGTTATGGCTTCCATTATTAATTACTACTAGTCATACCTACGAAGGAGGGGAACGCAGGAGATTACAAACTAATTACGACAAAGGAAAAAAAATATATATATTTAAAAAAGATGTAACAAACTCAACGAACTCACGTGACACGGAAGGGCTTATGAATAGGCCACATTCATTTTTGATTTCCCTCCCTTGTATGCCTTCCTCAGTTTTCACTTCTTTTGTTTTCACTCAGAGCTGCAGTGAACGACAATGGAGTCGCAATCGCAGACGCAGATCCAAACTCAAACGCAACCGAGCAAGACTAGCTCCAGAAAACGACAGGGGAAGAAAGACAAGTTATCTCTGGAGGACTACCTCGATTTCCGCCGCTCCCTTCAAACGGTTGATCTCAATATAAACCTTCTCAACCAGGTTTTCCTTTCCTCCTATTTATTTATTTCTTTATTATTATTCATTGATTAATTCCTTGTCTATTTCCGAGTTCAATTTGAAAGTTATTCATCCACGACATTGCTTCATTTTGCAGATCATCTATATCCATGGCTTCAAGAAACTGTACGGACAGACCAAGGTCATACACTCGCTCTTTGCACATGCTGGTTTTGAGTCTCTGTTTGGCTGCCGAGAAAATGGCAATGAAAGAAATGTTACTGGTTTTCTGTTTACTTAACTACTTTTTAAGAAATTCAAACTGAAATATCATGCAGAAAAATGGTAGTCCTCGATTATTGAATTTCTAATTGATTTCACAGAAAGTGTTGGTGGATGCCGTGAATACGCTTGATCTAATGGATTTGCCGAGATCCACACTCAACCAGAGTGTGTCTGCCTCCGCGACTCTCCCATTGGAGGACGTAATCGCTGATCTCAACGAACTAGGCTGGCAAGAGTGCTGTGTTACCTCTGTTTACACCCTCAGTTCTTGCCCAGAGAACTCCCTCCCTCTTGAGCAGAAACCGCAAGTCACCAAACACTTGCAGAGCAGTTCTCGAACCAAGACTTCGGAAAAGTCAATGGACGCTAATAAAATCAGTGGCGTCCTCCCTAAAGCTTCCCAAAATGGCCGGCGAGCCCCGAAAATGGCGAACAAGCGCAAGAGGATCAATGGCTGTGATGCTCTTGACTGTGCTTCGACCATGGATTCGGCCGTCTCGCTCGCCTCTAATTGAATGTGATGGTTCGTTCCCCCCCCCCCCCTGCATGTACTTCAATTTCTACTCATAATGCTGTTGCTAGATGTTTCCATTGTTAATTTGTACCTTTTTGACTTTTTCCTTATTATTTTTGCTTGGAAAAAAGTTGGATTACACAGTAGCTGGAGAATGCATCCACAACTTTATATCAATATTATTTCCATGTCCCGGTGGTCAAGCTCAAAGGGAATTGAAGTTAGGTATATGATTTAACTATTTGATTTGGTCTCAGTGACATGAATAATTTGTATACTTGCGGGTGTCTTACGGCGTGATTAAGCTACTTAATGAATATTACAGAATTTTACTTAAATTTATCCAAATGAAAATTGCCCTAGCTAAGAATGCTAGCTATTATTGGTCTTTATTTACACCAGACAAGTCATATGGGTATCATGGGCGTGGCACATGAAGTTCAATTGCGGATATTCTTAGCATGGCTTAATGAGTACTAAGAAAGTAGAAGACTAGTTAGTCAGCTTCAGTGCGTCTGTCTCTATGGTCTTGCTTAAAATTTCATGTGAATATTCACCAAGAAAGAGAACAAGGAATTTAACTTCTTTGAAGCTTGTGAATTTAAATTCCTGAAGGGTTTGAATTGGCACCCCCTGAATTGCTATTTGTTCCATGCCAGGCTACCAAAAAGAACAATGAATTTGTTTACTGGCGACGTACGAACTCTACATCAAAGATAGAGATTGGCGATGAGGACCGAGACTACCATTCCAGTGGCTTCACGTAGTGCCAGCACTGTTCTCACCCCCAAGCATTTTAACTTTCCCCATTTATAGAAAATATCCCACTATTTGCTCTCATTCTTCATCGAATAATATGAATCAATTTAGAAATAATGGAATTTCTATTTTTTTTTACTGAATCACATGAAACAGGAATAAGAGCGCGCTTAAAACCCATGTTCACTATAACTACTTTTCTTTCTCTCTTTAATGACACCACATGCAACCCAATCATAGACCATCGAGAGCCTGGAGCCTCGGACTCCACCTTTGGACTCTCGTCTTTTATAGTATCAAGGTCCTTCACTTCTTCCTCTTCCGTTGACATATATTAAAAATGCTCTGACAATTTCCTTATGATCGTGTAAATGTGCTAACCGTCAAACACATCCTCTAATGACTTGCTTAGCGATCATTTGTTATTGTTAACTTGGCACCTATTTTTAGTAAAATAAATCTACCTAAGAATCCTAGGGATTGAGATTAAAAACACGGTAACACGGTAAAAGTATTACGGAAGAATCTTCAATAGCAGCAGGCCCATATACGGCTGCAGCATTTTCCATTGGTACAAGAAATACAGCATAAACAATTCTTCTCAATAAACCCTCCCACGGAAAAGGAGGAAAAGCTTTGGGGGGATGAAATAGGCCATTTTCAAACACCACACAGAAAGGAACAGACCATAATAAGGCACAAAGTTTTTCCCCCGTTGGGAAGTGTGGCCAATCGACAAGAAACATTTAAAAAAAAAAAGGAAAAATAAATAAAAATAAAAATCGGGACCCTATCACTAGCTAATACACAGATGAGTTAACGGCGGCCCTCACGTCTCACCCCGAACACATCAACTCTTTAACGGTGCTACCTCCCATCCTCCTCACTGCACAGATGAAATGAGATAGATAAGTAAATTAGAGCAATCAAACAGAACGATCAATGATAACTGCCATGAACAAAGAAATTACTCACCTCTGCATCCTCGCCTCCGCCAACCTTGGCAGTGCCATTCACTTTCTGGGCATCTTCTGTAGCAGCAGGAACAGAAAACTCAGAGTGCTAGATAAGTAATGCCAAACAGAAAAAGATCCTCGTACTAATTGGTCAGACAAAAACTGCGCTTTACAAAAAGGAATGAGATTCCCATAACGCTAGGTCCTCAATCAGATATCAGCGAATGATGAATAGTTTATCATCACAAGGAAATGTTAAAAACTAACTCAGATTCCTCCCTGAAAACTGTCAATTATCTAGATTCTCTACCAAAATAAGTGTCCATTAATATTTCATAAACTTAATTCATCTCAGAGCATCATCATTTGAAAATTTACAGAACCCAGCTTTTTAACAAAACAAGGGAGGATAACTCACAGTTTGCAGACTAATCTACTATATTCAGGTTTTACCCGCATTTATAAGAGCCTCAATCAAAGCTCTAAAAGGACTGACCACGTGATGCACGTGTGAAACTCTTGGCAGATATCAAAACTTCAACAACAGTGTATCTTTATATATTTGATTTCCAACCAACGGCAGAAGCTAAGAATCATGGAAACTAACACAAAACAAGTGCGGCCAAATCTGAAGAGTTCAGTGGTTTCTTCCAAGTGTTCCACCACGTATGTCAAAGGCATGTGGAGCACAGACTTGACAAAGCGCTTTTTCGGAACATGAACATAACAGATACTTTATGACTATAAAGAATACAAGGCAGATCAAATGATAAACACTACCTAAAAGATAAGGAATGTATATGCATGCTAGCACTTTCAAGCAACTGAAGGACATCAAAAAGCTACGATAATTAAAGCATAATAGATGATTTCAGAAATTTAATCAATAAATTGGAAATAAAAAGAATGAAAAAGAAAAAAAGAAAAAAAAAAGAAAAGAAGAGTGAATTATAGGCCTTTCAAATCGATCACCTCCATCTTCTGGGATGTCAGAAGTCCAAAGGGTAAGGTTGTCCCTGAGAAGCTGCATGATCAATGTGCTATCTTTGTATGACTCCTCATTCAAGGTGTCAAGCTCAGAGATAGCTTCATCAAAAGCTTGCTTCGCAAGATGACAGGCCCTGGAAGAATAAAAACACAATATCCCACATGAAACACAATAACATTAAGAGTGTGTTTGGATGAAACCAAACCATGGTTTGGAGAATAGCTTCTGGAGAATATATTCTGAAAAAAATAGATTTTGGAAATAATAGATTTTGTGAAAAAGTGATTTTGAGAAGTGTGAGTGTTTGGATAGTTGTTATTAGAAGTACTTTTTATATATACAAATTGGCATAAATTAATATGATAATTATAGAAAAAATATATTTTATGATATATTTTAATTTGAAGGAATAAAATTGTTAATAATATATTTTTTATTAACATATATTAATAATATATAAAATACTCCCTCTGTTCCTTATTATAAGAGACAAATAACCGAAATACGTTGATAAAAAAAAATAGTTAAAATTAGTTAAGAACAATTAATGTGTAAAAAGTATAATTTTTTTCCAAAAATGCCCTCATTAATAAGGAGAGAGAACATGAGAGAGAATAATTAAATTATTAAAAGAAAGAGAAGTGAGAGGGAGAGAGAGTGTGAGTTGGAGATAATAAATATGGGTAAAATAGTAAATCAACACATAAAAGTAGAAACAACTTGTAAATGTCTCTTATATATAGGAACATGCCATAAACATCAAATGTCTCTTATAATAAGGAACGGAGAGAGTAATATAATTAATAAATAATTAATATGTATATATATATTTATAAGATATAAGATTAAATATATTTATAAAAAATATGTTTATAAGAAAAACAACAAGATACATATCCTATAGGCTCTCACACTCTCCCCCTTTACCTCCAAAAGTAAAAAATTTCTGCTTTTCTCAAAACCATGGTTTTGAATCCAAACCATGGTTTTGATTTTTTTAAGGGTGTTTGGCTAACATTTTTTCCAAACCATGGTTTGGGGTGCTTGCCAAACACACCCTAAGTAGCATTACAGAAAGAAATCATATCCACAAACCTTTCAGGTGAATTCATGATCTCATAGTAGAAAACTGAGAAATTTAGAGCCAGCCCCAATCGGATGGGGTGCGTCGGGGGCAATTCAGCCTCTGCTGCTGCGGTAGCAGCCTACAATGGAACAAAACCATATCACTGGTTGAAGATAAATGGAATAAAGGACACAACCAAAATGGGGGGAAAATAAGAAAAATTTCTCATGGTTCTGAGCAATATTAAACAGGTATAACTTACCTTAACTGAACTCAGCAAATAATAATATATACTATCATGTAAAACGCAAACATAATAGATCAGAGAATTTGAATTGCACCTCATATGCTTTCATAGACTGATCAGCAGCCTCTTTCTTTTCGTTGCCTGATTTGAATTCTGCAAGATAACGATAATAATCCCCTTTCCTGCAACCAGAAACATGCCATAATTTTCCTATAGGAAACAAATTATAATACACTAACATATTCAGGAGGGAATGAGGCATGAGCGCTCACATCTTATAGAAAAACACAGTTGATTCACCAACAGTAGCAGAAGGTATGAGGTGCTCATCAATCACCGTCATAACATCATTACAGATGTTTGAAAGCTCTGCTTCAACTTTGTGCCTATATTCCTTAATCCGTCTGGCATTTACTTCATTCCCTTTTGTTTCTTCTTTTTGCTCTATTGAGGACAGTATCCTCCATGATGCTCTGCGAGCACCAATTACATTCTTGTAACCAACAGAAAGTAAATTTCTCTCTTCAACGGTCAGCTCAACATCTAGATTTGCAACCTTCTTCATAGCATCCACCATCTCTGTTACAAATGGAGGCAGGAACAATATATTGTAAGTCAAAATTTGTAAGTTACAAGTTAACCGCCGAAATCTGAAGTCAAAATAAACATACCCAAACGCACTCCCTGCTGATAGGGGGAGAAAAAAGAAAATTCGTTGGCAAAAATACTTGTTATAACAGAAATACTTCAAGTGTCATGCCAAAACCTACATGCAGTTCCCCAAAATCCCACGCTTCCAAGGAATTTAAAGCAGTTCAGGCTGAAACCGAAGCTCTGTTTGTTGAGGTCAGTTCAGGCTGAAACTAAAGCTCTGTTTGTTGAGGTTATAAAACTTAAAAGACTTCCCAGGATAATTTAAACCTTTTAGCCTAGATAAACTAATTGGTGTATTGTTCAGGGAAGTTGCTCAAAAACATTCCGCAAGTTTCATCGAAGTAACCAAATCTGACGAATTTTTTTCAACCCAAAAAAATAAAAAAAGTCCTGCTTGGACCGATGGATGATTGAATTGGACTCCCATTACCTAACTCAAAGGCGAAAAACTCAAATCTCAGAAAAAAGTTTTAGAGTTAGATTTCCCACGACTTTCAATTAAAAACAACCATATCCAAATCAAATTACTACTCAACACCAAATTTGAAGCATCAAAACAAAACCACAGGACGAAATTAGCAGAGAATTAAACGGGATCAAGCTTCATAGTGACAAAGAGGGAGGTGGAAAAAAGCAGACGGATATACACTCATCAGACTGAAATCGAAGCAAAGCCCGTAGCTTTAATCTATGAGAAAACAAAACGAAGACATTATATGATCCAAAATCAAGTCGATTAGCAAAATAAAGGAGAAACACTAAGATGAAGCCCTAACCATCGTATCGCTCGGCCTGCTCAGCAAGCTTGGCGACATACACGAAATTCTCGCGCTCTTTGGAGGAAGCCATGGCCGATCTCCTGGAGATTAGGGTTGGGGGATTCGGGCAATCGGGGCTCCGCTCAGCGAAATCTCAGCCCTTTGTTCTTGTAGCTGAGGCCTTTGGAAGCTCTGCGAGACAACTGAAAAAGAGAGTGTCGCTGTCGTAACAAAAAAGCCGATTTGTGTGAAATGTCAAATACCCCCTTCCTTTTTCCTCTTTTTTCCCCCATCTTCACACATCTTGTCTTTCTCGAAATTCCCCGCAACAATTCCTAATTTTGTTTTTTTTAAAATGATATATAATCTATAATAATGCTATTAGTACTAATTAATTCAACTACAGCTTGGCCAAAATGTTTAATTATAATTTATTTGTACCCAACTACGCACTATATATTATTGAAAAATTAGATAAAAATTTAAGAAATTAAACTTCCATTTGATTTATTTTTTCGTATTAATTTTTTACTTATTTTCTTTCGCAAAAGGAAGTAGAAATACGGTAAACTTCAACAAGAAGCGATTAATTTTTGACTTTGTCTCTAAATTTATTGAAAACATGACATTTATGTTCGGTAGTAACATAGGCTTGTAGGGAAGATAAGGCAAAATAAAATTACCTTAAAAAATAAAAATTTAAGCATAATATAATAGATGGATATTATAAGTAAAATAAAATGTTTTTCTCCTATTATAACGGTTTTCATCTGAGTTTTTGTTAATTACTCTCATCTCTTTGATGAGGCTTGAACACGAACTCTTACGAAACAGTAGTAAATAATTACGGAAGTTCTGTTGATATTTTTTTTTTAAAAAAATGGATCGCTTACAAAATCATTATAATTACAAAAACGATATATACACCAATCAGTGGTGCCCACGTCAACGGACAAACAAATAAACTCAAAAGTGGAACGAATTGAAACGTGACACGTTATGCCCTTGGCCAATAGGAATATGATTCTTGGGTAGGGTCGATAAGAACCGGGTTGGTCCGGTCCACGCATCCGATACCTTGGATGGCCAGGTCTTATATGCTTCGCTTGGCTTGACTTTTATTTCTTTTTTTATCTTTTTAATTATTCTTTGGACTAATCTTTAAAAATAAAATAATTCGGTTCCTTCAAATATAAGCATCAAGTTGACCCAAAATACACAAGCATCAAAGTTTATTCACTGGATATGTTTTAGTCCACGATTTAAATGCTTTCTTTAATCAATAGATAAGGATATTCACTTATTCAATTATAAGAGAGAATATAAGAAAGATGTTCCCATATTGATCACTATGCTTATAAAGCAACCATTAACACAAATTAATAGGATTTGAAGCCGCCCAAATTGAAAGATCAGAACGCAATTCCTGTCTAATAAATATGGGTGAATTTCCATTTTTTATTTCAATATTATATTAAATTATAAGAGGGGTTCTGAAATAATAATAATAAAATTACTGTCATGTGACTTGATGATGTTCAAATTCTCAAAACAGTCCCTCTTTAATGCTTGAGAAGTAATTAATTAGAAGTCAGATTAATAAAGCATTAATATTTATATTACATTTTAAAATATATTTTTTTGAAAAAAATAATATGTGAAATTAGTTTCCAAAATACTGATATAATGGTAAAAACAAACGGGAAAATTAAAAAAAAAAGCCGTTCGCCTGTACAGATAATTGTAGCAGTTATAACAGAGAAACCGCATTGTTTTGTTATTATTGTTGTTGTTATTATTATTATAATAAAGGGTTCAATAGAAAGAGACAACATAACGGGCTATGGCGTAGATGTAGAGGAATAGTGAGGTCAATAAGTATGGAAAACTCCTCAGTCTTAGCTTCGAAATCATCATTCAGAAGTTGGTCCCAACAATTTAAAAAAAAAAAAAAAGATGATATCATCACGGAAAAAACTACCAACCAGCCAATTATTGCCATCATTTTGTGAGCGTGGGCGTGCGTGGGGTCCGGTTGGCGTTCTGAGATTCCTCTCGTCGGAGTTAGGCTCACAAATTGGGCTTCACAAAATGGGTTTTATTGGACTCTCTTATGTCCAAAATGGTTCTTGCTCTTTATGGATAGCTGTTTGCAAGAAGACTTGGAAAACGCTAATAGCGTAATAGCCCAAGGGCATTAAGGGGGTGTTTGGTAACCTCCAAATCATAGTTTCAGAAGCACTTTTCTATAAAACGAGACAAATTCCTCCACATATTTGCTTCGTAAACCGTAAAAGCACTTCTGAAACCATGGTTTAGTTTCTATCCAAACACCTCCTAATACTCTTACGTAAGCGAAAGTTCGTGGATTTAGTCCAGCCTATAGCTTCAAATTGTTTGTACCTACCCTTTTTAATTGCTAAAAAAAATAGAGACCAGAAAAACCATTTGATTGTTTTCTTATTTTATAATACTTCCGGTCTTAATTATAAGAGCTAGTTGACTAATTTAAGGAGATTAAGGAAATAAGTTAAGTTAGTTATTTGTAACGAATAGGTAATGTCTTTTCTAAAATAACCTTGCTAATCAAATATCTTGGTTAGAACTATCATTATTAGAAAGACTTCCTTAGTAAAAAAAAATACATAAATATGAAAGACAAAATAAATTAGAGTTTTATATTTAGGAATAAAATAAAAGTCAAATAAAGTCTTATATTAAGGATCGATGGCAGTATTAGTTATTACATCCTCCTATTACAGGCATATTCGGAGGGTACTAAATTTTGTGCATTCTACCTAATAAAGATTTAAAAATTGATTTATCACATTGTGAAGAAATAGTCACATTTGTTAAACTTGATCCTCCATAATTAGATTGTTTTTCTTCGCCCGCAGATTGTTTCTCTTTTGATCCCGAGTAAGGAGGTGGTATTATTATTGAAGAGTTGAATTTAAGTTAATCGTGATGGTTCAAAAGAAAACTCACATGCTTAAAAGCATATACCAAAGTAATTGCAAACACATTATAGAACTAGCCTTCACATGCAAATTTTGTAGTGATTTGCTCCCCCAGATAAAATTAACCAAAACAAGTTTCTCATCGATCCTTCCATTCAATCAACTGAACATTAACTAAAACAACAATTCACTTTGGTGTGTGCAATTAATAGCAAAGACCTTGATACATTGTTGTACGCACCGCTGAAACTAAAAAACAGAGGCGGTACATATACACAAACCATTCACAATTACCCTATGCAGAAACTGAAGAACTAGGTACTGCAGATTGATTAATTCTGGTACTGATCCCTATTTCAGCATTAAATCATCAAGTAAAATGGAAAGCAACGTTAATCAGTTTTGGAGATTCAAAGTACGAGGCTGGAAGATGAAGGATCACATAATGGAGCAGGCGTGAGGGTTGTCGTCACTGAAAGCAGCACCAGCTTGATGGCCAATGACAGAAGAATGAGAAGGATACTGATAATAACGAGGATCGCAGCTATCATAGCCATGCTTGTAGTAGTTATAGGACGAACTTGGCTGAGAGGTGTATAAGTTCACTGGTCCATTACAATGGTGCTGCTGAAAGAATTGCCCTTCATGAAACTCCGTCGTGTACGGCAGCTGCCACACCTCCGCCCTCCGCCCCGTCTTCTCACCGCCTTCAGAACTTTCTTCTGATCCGCCCACCCCGTCACCGTCACCTTCTGTAACTTCATGTCTATCTCCACCTCGTCCACACCTGAACAAACACACAATCATCCATATATAATTAGGGCTTCCATTTTTCATCATCATGCTCGATCAAGCGTATGTTCTCCCATCTTCAAGTTCGTCTCAGATTATATATATACCTTTAAGCTTTTCAAGTGTACTTTTGACCTTGCTTTCACATCCTGCGCAATCCATGTGCACTCTCATCTCTATGATCTGAACGCGAAAGAATAAGAAAATGTTTCACAAAATTCCTCATGCATATATGTATATATAGAACAAATATAGAACCAAATGAAACTAAGAATTGTTATTGATGTACCGTCATGATTTTGGTAGCGATGAATTGTTTCCTGAGAAGTTGTTGCAGATACGGTTTTTGAGCGTTGTGGATTATTATGAGGAGAAGAGCCTCAGCATATATAGGAGAGGGGGCTTGTTTCCTCGGGATAAGGATGCTTCATTATTTTTGAAGTATGAATTAAATATAAGGGCTTGACCTCACCGACTTTTAGCAGTTTGAAGGAAAATAAAAATGAGAGCTGAAGGAAAGGGGTCCAATCGATGCCCTTGTTGATGGATCAGAAACAGAAGAGGGAGCAGGAGAAATGCAAGCACATGCGTTGCCTTGCTTTAATATATAATCCATTCACTTAATAATTTATTACCCTCTAATTATTATAATTAATTGTGCGGTTTTGACTTTCTGTCTCTGCTTAAATGGAGGAATAAATTGAACATATCTCTTTGCAGGGATGAAGGGGCATGTATGGACATGATTAACGGACTTACATGTTAGTCTCAGTTTTCTCATATGTTATTTGAAATTTAAGAAATAAGAGTTACACTTTTCATGATGTATGAATAAACTGTGATATGATTTTCAGACTTGTGAGCTTTTCTTGAGTAAACCTCTTAATTATCAGCTTAAATTAGTGACTTATGAGCCTTTTTACAATCCTAAATGACAGGGACAAATACAATTTTAATCACTCTGTAATAGCAAAATTGCATGGAAATTATAGTTCCAATTAATTTTTAAAAAAAGAATTAAATATAATAAAATAAAATAAATTTAAATTTTGAAAAGCTATGTTATAATTATAAAGGAACGTTAAGTTGACTACTAGAGGCAATGCACTGATGCACATGCGCAGAAGCGAGACTTTAGGGATCCCAAGTTATTCAATGCTTTAAGCCGACTCACTGCAGTTATACATTTCTGATTGTCAACGTCCAACAAAGTATAGTGCCCATTTAGGTCTCTCTTTTTTTTAAAAAAAAAACATAATACTCCTCCGATCCTTAATATAAGACCTATTTAACTAATTTGATTAGATTATGAAAGTTAGATAAGTTAGTTAATTATAATAAATGTGACACGTTTTTTCTAAAATACTATAGTCATCTTTCTTAATACCCCTTCTTTCTCTTCTACTTGATTATGGTTAAGGAAGTATCTATAAGGGTAATTTAGAGAAAATTGATAAATAAATAAATGGGTCTTATATTTAGGGCTAAAACCAACTCAACTATTGAGTCCTATATTAAGGACCGGAGGAGTAAATCAGTTGCAAATGATTTGATGTATGGGACTCAAATTTTGGCTAATTTTGATGTGTTGGGTTGTTTTTTTGCCTTCTAGTTGAAATTTTATGTTTTATTTGTTTATAATACTACTGCCTTCTCTGTGGTAGTGTTAGTCTGTTATAATGTGTTTTTATTTTTTAGACTCTAACTTACTATGGTTTTATGTTTTATTATGCATATATCTATGCCTAAGGTAATTAATAGTGCGATTTTTTTTAAATCTTA